TGAAGCTGGTCCTTTTATTACTCCCATTTTGCAGATGAGGAAACTGAAGCTCAAAGGGATCAACCAGTTCCATTCTGTTTAGTCAACAAGAAAGTGGTAAAGATGGGATTCAAGCCCAGAAAAAGCAATCTTAATAATTACTCCCAAAAGTCTCATTGACACTCTTCACTTTGATTTCCAAAATTTCATGAGCGAAAGAGAGTAGTTATGTGTACACACAAGAGCAAACACTGCCTTGAGTTTGTTTACATAGACATAAATGTAAAGATAATTCTGGAAGTCAAATACAGTAGCTTGTTAGTGGTCTTGGTTCTTGGTCAGCCAAATTATTTTTTCATACTACAACAGCCACTCTGAGAGCACGTCTGTTTCTCTTCATTCTTTTCTCTCTGATAAAGTAATTCTTAGAGGAGATAAGTCCAAACTGGGCATTGTGAATCTAGGAGAAAGAGAGCAAGGGTGGAAAGATATTGAATGGGAGGGTCAATAAGATGTTTAAAAAGTGGTGTTTGGAGGCTGGACACGGTGGCTCACACCTATAATCTTAGCACTTTGGGAGACCAAGGACTGCCCGAACCCGCTGGTTTGAGACCAGCCTGGGCAATTTGGCAAGACCTCATCTCTACAACAAATCAAAAACTCAGCCGGGCATGATGAAGTGTGCCTGTGAGTCCAGCTACTTGGAAGACTGAGGCAGAAGGATTGCCTGAGTCCAGCAGGTCGAGGCTGTGGTGGCCGTGAGTATGCCACTGCACTCCAGCCTGGGCGACAGAGTGAGATTCTGACTCAAAAGAAAAAACAGTGGTGTTTGGAAACCCTCTCACAAGGAAAGTTACAGGTTGAATATCCCCTATCTGAGATGCTCAGGACCAGAAGTGTTTCAAATTTCCAATTTTCTTGGATTTGGGGATATTTGCATTACACTGGTTGAGCATCCCTAACAGAAAAATCCGGTCTTTCCTTTGAGCATCATTTTGGCACTCAAGTTTTAGATTTTGGAGCATTTCAGATTTTAGATTAACTTTCAGATTAGGGATACCCGACATGTACTATCTCTCCAGTGAAGTTACTGAAGGCTTTTTATCACATGAAATGGTTGGTGTGCATGAACATTTTTGGAAATTAGTGAAGGGCCCAAGATTCATATCAAGTAATCACAGAGTAAAATAGAGACCAGCAGGAGAGGACATGGGAGCATGGAGAGATTTATGAGGGAGCTCAGAAACCCAGCAGAAATCTCAGGGAGAGCTTTAGACCACCCAGGAACCTGTGGCTGAATCCATTTCAATCAGATCTGTAAGCAAACAGCAGGCCTTTGGCTGAGAGTGGGGTTATATATATTCATGTAATCAAATTTAAACCATTCCCCACCAGAATAGCTAGAATTAAAAGACTGACATACTACATGTTGCCAAAGCTTTGAAGTAACTGGAACTCTCATATATTGCTAGTAAGAATTTGACTCTGAGAAACACAGTGAGTCCTTGTCTCTACAAAAAATAAAAAATAAAAAAATTAGCCAAGTGTGGTGTCACACACCTGTAGTCCCAGGTACTTGGGAGACTGAGGCAGTAGGACTGCTTGAGCCCCGTCTAGCTTGAGGCTGTGGTGAGCCATGAGCGTGCCACTGGACTCCAGCCTGGGCAACAGAATGGGACCTCCAACTCAAAAAATAAAATAAAATAAAAAAGAATGAAATAAAATACAGACATTTTGGAATAGAGCTTGAGAGTTTCTTATAAAATTAAACATTCATCTATGATGCAATTGCCTTCTTGTGCATTTTACCCAAGAGATATGAAAGCATAAGTTCACACAAAGACCTATGCAAACAATGACAGCAGCTATTTCATAACAGCTGGAAACAACTCAAATGACCTTCAATTGGTGAAGGCATAAACAAACTGCAGTGCATCCATACCATGGAGCGAATCATTCAGCAACAGGAACAAACTACTCATACACGCAACAGCATGGATGAATCTCACAAGCATCATGCTAAGTGAACGAACTAGTACAAAAGATCACATACTATATGATTACATTTATATGATATTCTAGAAAAAAACAGAACAACAGTGACAAAGAGCAGATCAGTGACTGCCAGGGACTGGGGACTGAGGGAATAGAGATCAACTGCAAAGGGTACAGGGGAAGGTCTAAGGTGACAGAAACATTCTATGTCTTGATTGTAGTGGTGGGAATATGACTGGATATACATTTGTCAAAATTCCTCAAACTGGGTGAATTATAGTGTACACAAATTATATCTGTTGGGTTTTTAAAAATTATTGTTGGTTTATTTTAAGTTAAATCATCCTCACTGGTAGCCATAAAATGAAAGGACATGCATCCTGAGGATACCTTCTTGTAGAAGGGACAGTCCCATTCAGTTTTTCCTAGTGATTCTGTTGCTGTTTCATGGGTGTTTCCCCAATCCCTACTGTTGAAGAAATTGTTCATGCTATCTAGAAAGTGAAGATTAATCAGCACACGATTCAGGCTGAATCCCTTTATCAGTATAAAGTTGTTTCTTGGGCCATGATTTTAAAGTATACTTACTAACTAAAAGCTGAACATTATCTTTTTAAGTACAGAAAATCATAGTCCTGGGTTTATAACTAACTAGGCCTGCCAGATACAATTTGAGTCAAATTTGCATTCAGATAAACCCAAAAATTTTTTAGTGTAAAAATGTCTCAAATATTACATGAGACATATTTTTTAATTGCTGTATCTGGCAATCTTATTAATAACACTGGAACTATCAGTCCACGTACAGGTATGGCTTTTTCCATTTTATTTATTCATTCACATATTTTGTTTAGCTAATCTCATATTATGTCATAGCTGCAGGTATTTTTTTTTTTTTTTGAGTTGGAGTCTCACTCTGTTGCCCAGGCTGGTGTGCAGTGGCACACTCACGGCCACCCCAGCGTTGACCTGCTGGGCTCCAGTGATCCTTCT